GTACGTGCGTGTAGGGGCGTGTACGTGCGTGTACCCGCGTGTACGTGCGTGTAGCGTGTACGTGCGTGTATCTGCGTGCACGTGCGTGTACCCGCGTGTACGTGCGTGTACCCGCGTCTACGTGCGTGTGTCTGCGTGCACGTGCGTGTACCCGCGTGTACGTGCGTGTATTTGCGTGTACGTGCGTGTACCTGCGTGTACACGCGTGTACCCGCGTGTACGTGCGTGTATCTCCGTGTACCCGCGTGTACATGCGTGTATCTGCGTGTACGTGTACGTGCGTGTATCTGCGTGCACGTGCGTGTACCCGGGTACACGCACGTACACGCGGGTACACGCACGTGCACGCAGATACACGCACGTACACGCGGGTACACGCACGTGCACGCAGATACACGCACGTACACGCGGGTACACACACGTACACGCACGTACACGCGGGTACACGCACGTGCACACATACATGTGCGTGTACCTGCGTGTACGTGCGTGTACCCGCGTGTACGTGCGTGTATCTCCGTGTACCCGCGTGTACGTGCGTGTATCTGGGTGTACGTGCGTGTACCCGCGTGTACGTGCGTGTATCTCCGTGTACCCGCGTGTACGTGCGTTTTCTACATATGTGATAAGTTCAGCAAGGGCTCTGGCTGGAATTTTTTATCTTCTTTATAGCTCTCAGAGAAGTCCTGGCTTTGCCTCGTTAAGGAACGATACCGATTTCGAAGTCCAACCAAGCAAGCCAAGTGATTTAGGTCACCACCCTCAATCATGGATAATAAGTCTGTTTCATGCAGATCTTTGACCATGCTTCTCACATTGTCATCTGTTTCAAGAGTACAGAACTCATGTAGGTTTCCATCCTTTTATTGCAGAATATACATAAGCTCTTGTCTAAGGGCTGGCGGTGTCGACATCGTTTCTCATCTCCAGCACCCTTCTCGTCAGTACTATCATCGCTCTCCCTCTTCCGTGCTCTTTCCAATTTGCTTATATTGAATTTTGCATGACAAGATTTGTGCCACTGTGCTCGATAATTTATGAACTGGTCCACATATATGTCATCTCCAAAAGTAAGTGGTACTGGTAGTTGGTTTAGTTCCCTGAATGTCTGCACATTGTTCAGGAATGATGTATACGGTTCCGATTTGTCACCAGGGCCATGTGCATTTAACGAGCATCTGAGTGCTTCAGAAGTTGACTCTTGGCATACTATACACAAGCTCGAGTCCATCATGCCCAGGTATCTTCAGTCACAGCGTACATTAACACGTAAATTTTTTTATAAACATAGAATAAAAAGAGCAGTGGTATTACGTTTACCATTAATATTATTATAGAATTACTAATTACAGAATACCAATTATAGAACGCTAGCACTCTCATTGTGGCCGTGCACGTGTGTTGCTGCATTGTGTGACGTAGGGGGTGGGGGTGCGCTATTGTTTAACGCGTGGGCATCTTCATTATTGAATATGTAGGGGGTGTGGGCACCACTGGGATGAGTGAGCGACAGCAAAAACTCTTTCCTGGAATTGAGGACAAGAGCTCACCAATTTTGATGCAAATATTCATCTCCAGATGTTCTAAATAGTTTAATTGCATTCCTCATCCCAGAAATGTATGTTTAGACACCAAGTTTGCCCTCCTAAGTAACCTAGAAGCCGAGATATTGACATTTATAGGTTTTTACATGGCAGCCATCTTGGAATCCAAGATGGGCGGTTCCCTCTATTTTGCTGAAGTGGCTCCTATCAAAAATTGAAACCTTAGGCACTGGATAGTATATGGAAAAAGTTTGGTGCTTTTATCCGGGATGTCCCCATCCTTCTCAAATCTGGGCCTAATTGCCACCTGACTATTAGGGTTAGGGTTGAGTTATGGTTATGGTTAGGGTTAGGGTTAGGGTTAGGGTTAGGGTTAGGGATATGGTTATGCGCTATTCGTCCGAGCAGTCGTACAGCGTGGTATGCGTCACTTTCCCACACCATAGATTAATTTGGTACTATGACACGCGTATATAAGATAGCCGAGTCGGTTTAGAGTTATAGTGTTAGGGTTAGGGTTGGGTTATGGTTAGGGTTAGGGATATGGTTCTGGGCTCGTGAAGTGGTCTTGAGTGAAGTGAATTATTACTTCGCACAAATCAGAAACGCGAACCATGTGTGATGTCATGAATAATTTATCAATCTTCAGTCGCCATCCTACGGTTTAAAAGCTCGCCCCCCCGCACACTGTACGACTCAAAGTTGCCGCAAACCATGGCACTCTCGTGGCGTTCCAAGCGGATTTAGCGTGTACTAAGGGTCGGGAGTGTTTTCCCGCCATTTTTACCGAAAGCGGTTCCCATGGCGCTGCTCTGTGATTGGTCAATTTTCTTCAACGCTCGGCGGCGGGTCGGATGGTCACGCACACTATCCGAGTCGCGTCGTAAGCACACTCACGTCCGATCCCCTCTCACAACAAGAATTTTCCCTTTATACATTTCGTAGTTGGAGGGGGGTTGCGTGTTATTAAACCTCTGGGAACAAAAGAAAAAAATAACCGTAGAATTCACAAATATTGCACCTACAATTTCAATTTTTTCGCGTGGCATGCCCCCATACCCCTACTGTTACGTGAAAGGCCACAGTATGTTTATTTGAATTATGTGCTTGCCGATAGGTGGCGTAACTAGTTTAGTTGAGTAAGATGAGCAGTCGCCATTTTATTTCTGCTGAGCTTACGATTTTGTAATGACTCAGATAAAACATTTGAAAACCTCGAAAATCACATCATTTTTTTAAAGTAGTGAAGGAGAAGCTGGAGAACTGGATGCCGGCAGCATTCCAGCTGAAACGGATGAAAGGTATAGAGAGGAAACAAGCAAGAGCCCTGAACCCAGTGTCAGTGAAGAGGCAGTCGAAAATAATAGAGACGATGACCATTGGATGAGCCCCAATCATCCTCCTCCCGGAATAATCCCGGCAAAAAACTGCAACCCAAAAAAGCTACTTCCAGGCCAAGTGGTTCATAATCTATCCATGGCTTCACTATGTGCCATCACTAAAACGGGTAGTTTGCTTCTATTGCTCGCAAGCAGAGAAACGGGGCCACTTAAAAATGTCAAAAAACAAAGAGCCAGCTTTCCTCACTTCCGGTTTTGACAACTGGAAAAAGGCAACATCTAGATTCGAGAGTCACCAAGCTTCAGAATCACATAGAATCGCTGTGGCAACGATTTCGTCGATGTCTCAGCTGACCATCGACGTCCAGATGAACACCAATCTGAGGCAACAACAGGAAGTAGCCAGCAAAGCCCTTCTAAAGGTCTTCCAAAGTTTGCGGTATCTCCTGCGTCAGGGACTACCTTTCCGTGGACATGCTCCTGAGGAGGGAAACTTCATCCAACTCCTAAAACTTTTCCGCGAAGGTGATGGTAGACTTGATGAATATCTCAAACGAACAATGAGTTTCACTTCACCGCAAGCACAGGAAGAGATCATACAGATGTTCAGTCAGAAAATCGTCAGAACACTAGCGAAAGATATCGCAAGGAATGGACCCTTCGGTGTCATGGTAGACGGCACACAATACATCAGCGGTGTAGAACAAAAGTCAATATGTTTTAGGCATGTAGACGACAATCTTCATGTGCATGAGGACTTCGTTGGCTTGTACGAACTTCCCATCACATGCGGTAAAGTAATTGCCAACTTGATTTTCGACGTCATCACCCGCCTGTCACTACCAAGTGATAACTTGAGAGCCCAGACGTATGACGGGGCAGCCAACATGATGGGTCGGTCAGTACAAATGGTGTCGAGCTAAGGTGAAGGATCGAGAACCGCTGGCATCACATTTTCATTGAGGATCTCACGTTGCAAATCTTATCATGCAGAATGCAGTTTCTAGTTGCCCTGCTGTTCGAGAAGTTATCCAGTGGGTGCATGAGCTTGGTGTTCTGTTCAAGAGATCTGGAAAGTTCAAAGTGAGTACAAAATTATCACTTTCAAACACTTCTATTTTAATATTTTATCTTTTCTACGTATTGTGTGTTTACTGCTAATTGCTTCTAAGGTAATGCAAACAACGACTATCAGTATTCACCCGTGTCACAACTATTCGGTCTATGCTTCACTTTTGAATCCACCTAGGCCATCTTCAAAGAGATCGTACACGAAGGCCTCTCTGACGATCAACCGGTGAAGTCTTCAACGATTCTCCCTCTTTGTCCAACTCGATGGCTCTGTAGGTTGTCTGCTATACTCTCCGTCAAAGACAACTATGAGACTGTTTCAATTATTTGAAGAAACTATTTTACAAAGTCGTGGAGATCTAGTTTTTCTACATGAAACTCGAAATGTTAGTTTGCTTCTTCTTTAATTTAATATTTGTATATTTTTTCGCCCATATCTTCGCTGCACAGGTATGTTAGAAGCGGTCAAAGTTACAACAAAGCAGATGAATTCATGGCGGACAGAGGAGGAATTCCATGTCCTGTACGAGAAAGCAGTATCGAAGGCTGATGAGCTGGAATTAGATCCACTTCGTGTTCCAAGGAAAATAACTCCTCCTCGCCGTCTCACTGGGCCAGCCACACCGTTCAACCCAACAAGTGCCGAACAGCACTACAGGCAGCAATACTTGTCATTCATCGATGCCGTGGTGGTGCAGCTGAGCAAGAGATATGACCCATCTAAGACCGACCTGGCTGCGTACAAGATGCTTGAGGACATGCTCCTCTCTAGAAAAGTTGTAGACGAGACCTTCGTCCAAAAATATCCGGAACTCCAGAAATATATCTTGACGGTACAGCTTGCGATGTTCAAGCAGACAACGGGGGCAAGCAGTGTGCATGAAGGTAAAGTCGCATACCGTGGCATGAAGCAGGAAGTACGGGACCTTTTCCCACAAGTTGCGACCCTTCTCAAGTTGCTCCTCGTATGCCCGGTTTCTTCGAGTGAATGCAAGCGGAGCTTCTCCACTCTTCGGCGCCTCAAGACGTGGCTGAGGAGCACCATGACTCAGCGGAGGATGAACGCGGTTGCCGTGTGTAACAGCCATCACGTCTTGCTCGACAAAATTTCTGTCCAAAGTCTTGCCAAAGAATTCGCGAGAAGAAGTGAGAAGAGGCGCCAAACATTTGGGAATTTCTTAGAGTAGCGATCTTTGATGATGTAAATGATTTTGTCACCATTACGAATGATTGTTGACATCGTCGATTTCGCCAAATAAAAGCATAATCTTAACTTCGTATTGTATTATTTTATGATAAAAACAAAATGTACGTTGTTTTATACTGCTTTCATTGTAAAAAATAAGTCGTCCACCTGAAAAACCTCAATTCTATAAAATTGAGTTTGTGAGAGAGACGTATATATATATTTCTAACGAAATGAAACAATAGGGAACGTGACAAGCCTACAAAACGTTTTACTATTTTATCCCTCAAAAACGGCCATTTGAAGGTTCTAAATTGCTAAAATTTAAGAGCTTCCGGGAGATCCGCCCCCTGGACCACGGGCAAGGGCTCTGCCCCTGGACCCCACCCGTTGAGGGGAAAATCACAGCGAAATCATCCCCACATAACTGACGACCTGTCTACGCCACTGATAAGAGCTGTCCACATTCGCAATTTGCACATGTCGCACATTTACAAAATTGAATTGTGGTGAGCTCTTATAGTTATATTATTATTATTATTATAGCCATAAACCACAATAACAGCAGCAGCGGCAGCAGCAGTAATAGCAGCAACAGTAGCTCAGTATTAGCAACAACAGCAGCAGTAGTAATAGCAACAGCAGTAGCAGTAATAATAGCAACAACAGCAGCAGTAGTAATAGCAACAGCAGCAGCAGTAGTAATAGCAACAGCAGCAGCAGTAGTAATAGCAACAGTAGTAATAGCAGCAACAGTAATAACAACAGTAGTAGCAGTAGTAATGTGCCGCTGGACAGGGTATGTTTTCCGGATATCATTCTTGGCACAGGGTTATCTAGATACCCACCCATCAAGCTGATTTTGGTCCAATATTGGCGATACAATATTGGGCCAATATCACCAGGCCAATATTGGACCAATATAGGCAGATAGTGGTCCAATATAGGCAGATATTGGTCCAATATCGGCCCAATATTGTTTTGCCAATATTAGGCCGATATTGGACCAATATAGACCAGTCTTAAATATTATTCATGACCTGGGGGCATCGCACGAAACACGCAGATACACGCACGTACACGTACGTACCCGCGGGTACACGGCGATACACGCACGTACACCCGAGTACACGCACCTACACGCAGGTACACGCACGTACACGCAGATACACGCACGTACACGCGGAAATATGCTAAACTTATCACATGTTCCCAAGCCACCCAATGAGATTAAAGCTGTTGGGGGATACCTGGAGGGGGCACAGCTAAAAGAGAAATTTTGGCTGGAACATTCTCTCAAGCTCATTGAAAAGGAGGAACTAGAAGGATACACTGCGGCCTGGTCAGCATACCATGCTTCTCTGCAAGATGTCTCCGATGATTTGGAGCCTGCTCTAACACAGCTCCTCCCACTGTTCTATGAAAAAGCTGCAACAGCTGCAATGCTTAAGCATGGGATGAATGTACAGCGTGATGCCATTCAATTCCTCAATCTTGAACAGCTCCCAGTAATGGATGTCGATGCACCCTTATATGCGCTAGCAAAATTTGTTCAGTGGAACTGGCCTCAAACTCATGGTGAGGACAAATATTTGGTCATGTTGGGTGGTCTCCATATTGAGATGGCAATGTGAAACACATATGGAGACTACTTGGAGACTTCTGGCTGGACAACTGCACTAACCCATGCAGGTATTGCAGCCTCTGGCACAGCAGACTCATTCCTTCGATCAGCCCACCTCACCAGAACACGACATGCCCACCAAGTCAGTGTTCTGGCTTTGGCCAAGCTGCAGCAGGATGCCTTCTTGGGTATGGTGACAGAAGGACCGCATAATGATAATACCAAGGAGGCTTGGAAACAAGTGATGATTGTCAAGAGTCCCACTTTCCAGTACTGGGATACTATACTTAATATGGAACTACTGGGCCTAATTTTTGTCCGGGCCTACAGAGAACAGAATTTCCCCCTCTATGTAGAGACGCTGAAGGCTCTGGTCCCATGGTTCTTTGCCTTTGATCACCAGAACTATGCCAGATAGATTTCTGTCCACATCCGTGACATGGAAAGCTTATCCGAATCTATTCAGGAAGAATTTGGGAAACGTGATCATTGGGTTGTTCCCAAGACTACAAAGAGATTCTCAAGCATACCACTTGACCAGGCTCATGAGCAAAACAATGAATTGGTGAAAGGTTCAGGAGGTGCAATGGGACTCACTGAGAATCCATCCGCATTCAAGAAGTGGATGATAGCTGGCCCTGAACAAGCTCGGCTTCTCCAGGAGTTTGAGCTGGAGTACATTTCGGAAGAAGTAAACTAATAACACCACCAAGAAGAAGGTATGTCTAACCAGAAAATATTTAAAGAACAAGCACTTGGTCTGGTGCAAGCTATACGTGAGATGGGCAATCCATTTGTAGATAACACTCCTAAACTTGTGACGCTAGATACAAGAAATGTCATCAATGAATCTGTGGTTAACACATCATTTTTTAAGTGAGAAGGTTAGTGTAACATGGGAGGGCAGGGCATCATTTTTTAAGTGAGAAACAAAGACAACAATCAGTAGATCTAGAGGCTATAGAGTATTGGTGAATCTAGAATCTCGAGTAGTAACAAACTTGTTGAGCAACACAGTAGCTTAACAACATAATGTCAGCTGTCTGCTGCGTTTCAATCTGAATGAGCCACGCGCGCTCTCATTATTATTGATGAATTTAGCTTAATTGGAAAATGGTATACGCGTCGAAATCTGCATGCAGTGTTACTGATCATCACCTGCTGGAAGAGGTCTCTAAGCGAAACGTTTTGTTTGAATCCCATTGCGAAGTATCTGCCGTTAATTCTTATAACGGCAGTGTTGCAATCGGATCACATGCGCAGGGCATCAGTGCGCGTGTCACACAGGACACGGCTAGCTCTTATATATACTGTGTCACCTTATACTGTGTCTCTAAGCAAAACGTTTTGTTTGAGTCCCATTGTTAAGTATCTGCCGTTAATTCTTAAGCCTAGCGCACACACCCGAGCAAAACGGGAAATTTTGTTTTTCCAGCGTTTCGCGTTCTGCTCGGCGAGCAAGCGCACACACGCCACCCGACACAGCACACAGCTGAGCAAAACATACAGAAACACTGCGTACAGCGCCGCTGTCACATGACATCAAAAATAGCCATCTAATGGACATCTAATTTTGTGTGTCATGTGATATTTTTAAGAATATTGATTGGAGACCGTCTGAGGCGTTTCGCTGTGTAGTAGAACAATTTACGCACACACCCGAGGAAAACGTACGCTCAGGCGAAAACACGTTCCGCGAATCAAACATTGCTTGTTCAGCAAAACACGTTCAGCTGAGCAAAGTTTTTTGTTTCGGGAATCCGCACATAGCCACGAACATCGAGCGAAACACGTTTTGCTCCACGTTCAGGGTGTTTTGCTCGGGTGTGTGCGCTAGGCTTTGTAACTGCAGTGTTGCAATCGGATCACATGCGCAGGGCACCAGTGCGCGTGTCACACAGGACACGGCTAGTTCTTATAAATACTGCGTCACCTTCTATAATACATAGTCGCCTCCGAATACGTTCAGCTTGCGATTTGCTAGCGATTGAGTGACGCGATCATACCTAAAAACATAATAATTATAATTTCTGAAATAAACT